TGTAAAACAAATATTAACTAATGAGATCCTGAATACATATAACTCATTATTTTGTAATTCAATCCACTAACAACGCAATGAGGTAGATAATAGTATTATGCCCACTTTACAGATGAAGAAAATGAGACAAAGAAAGATTGAATAACTTGCCCAAGGTCACACAACTAGTGAATGTGGAACCAGGATTTGAACCAAAGCTATTTGGCTTTAGGTTCTCTGTGTTCAACTGAGAACATCTTTATGCTGCCTCACAAGTTAGCACTCAAGACATTTTATCAATAATTAAATATGACCTGAGTTAACATTTCTTCTCAGTGCTTGGCAAAAAAACCCCAAACAAACTACAAATCAAGTTAGACGGTTGCTAAATTTTTTATCCTATTGCATAGCAGAGGAATCTTTAAAATATTCTGTATTTTTAGGCTTTGAGCAGCTGAGCTGCAGTGACTTGGCAGCTGTGGTTCTCAGGTGACGCACCCTGAACCAGAGAGGAGGGAGCCCTATTCTGGGGTGTGTCACCCGAGAACCACCCTCTTGCAATCCAGGACCCCTTGGGGGATGTCGGAGAGCTGGTTTTGGCTCAATCCCCACAGGGCCAGGCTGAGGGACCCCCCCACCCCCAAGTGCATGAATCCATACACTGGACCTCTAGTATAAAATATAAGGGTTCCATAAAAACTGACTTTGGTTTCTTGTAACTAGCTAGCACACCATGTAGAGTAAGTCAAGTGCATCCTACCTTAGCATTTTAGACGATCAATGCAGATGATCAAACTGCATACATGGAATCAATTTTTTTAAAGAACAATTGATCGTCTTGCTAACTTTAAAAACCATTCATAACCATCCCTTGCTAGTTCCATCCCTAGATAGATATGCAAACCACTCATCTAATATCTGGAATCTCAATTAGTTTACCTTGTAGTTTTTCAAGCACTAAGAATTGTTGATCTTATAAACTCAATAAGATTAAAAAGATTCATTAGTGGCTTTTTCCAACATAGAATGGGGACCAGTTGTGATAAGCTCTGTCTCTATAGATGGCTATGGAAATTGCCCAAATAAAACTGTGTCTGATGATTTCTATTTTTTGAATTGCTGAACCTAAGTACAGATTAGGCAGCTCTTATTTAGGCAAAAATTTAGAAAAGATTTTAAGTTGGATGGCTTTAATACCAGCAGTTAACACAAGTATAACGGGCACCCTTCAGAGATCTGTCTATAGGTGCTGATTTGTTTTATAGGTCTTGGGAACTGACCATATCCTGTTCCTAGAATATTGACCATATTAACTAAAGAATGACTCTATTCATCATTTTAAGTATTGGTTTTTGGCTCATATTATGTTTTCCTTTCCAGAAAATTTGTATTTGAAATTTGAACTGGTATAATTGTTAAAATGATAACATTCCTTATAAAAGATGGCAGTTTGTTCTGCCTTCCATTTCAGATTTATATATGTATTATCACAAGGTGATTGCTGAATCAGAAAACAATTGCCATTAATAAAGTAATGTTTTTCTTCAATGTGTTTATTATTCTTTAAGTATAATTAAAATATTGACCTCTTTCTAAATGTTTACCTTGGGAACAGTAAATAGTATAAATTATTGAAATATATACCTTTAAGTTTATCTTAATAAAATGTCAATAATGTCATAGGTCGAAGCTCTTTTTGCAAATAAATGATCATTTAAAAATTGTGTAATTTGTATATATTGATGGGTTTATATTACTTTCTGTGAAGATGTATACATTTAGGTCAGAGCTTCTTAACCAATAATCCATGGTTTGGCTCCGTGGATAGAGCACTGACTGGTCTGCGGACTGAAGGGTCCTGGGTTCAATTCTGGTCAAGCTCAATCCCCCAAACAGGGTTGGGGTGTGTGTCAGAGGCAACTAATCCTGTGTCTCTCTTACACTGATGTTTCTCTCTGTCTCTCCCCCTCCCTTTTACTCTCTCTAAATCAATGGAAAAGATATCCTCGGGTGAGGATTAACAAAAAACAACAACAGAAAGTTTATAATCCTATTTTATCAGTTGACTTCAGAAATAATATATAATATTTCTAAGATTTCTTCTGCAAAATACTGAGGATTGCCCTTAGAGTTCATAAAACTTGAGTGAATATATATTGCGAATCTGCACCGCTAATGCCATTGTTAGTAAACTCTCCGGATGGTCACCTGCCAGGAAAGTGAAGAGAAACACATAGGCATTATTTCAGGTACAGTGAAGGCAATTCCAGGGAAGAAACTGGAAAAAATGAGGCCTGCCTGTCTGGACTGAAGACTGGGCCAGCACTCCTTCCCAAGCTATTCACCATGGTAATGAACAATGGAGCCTCACTCTGAAACATCTGCTAACTACATAAAACCGTTAAAGGGGTTAACAGTGCCAGAGGCTGAAATGTAATCAGACAGGTGAAACGGCGATAAGATAAATATTTCTGCGTGAAATAGCAGTAATGCTTAATTAATTTACTTATTTTTATACTGGGGGATAATTGAGTTTAGAGTAATTGTGAAGTATGTTTTACTCTTTAAACTATGCCCTCCCACTCTACAAGGTGTAGAGAATTAGAGACATGCAAAAGGGGAAATTATTGTATTTTGCATTCATTTGAACTATGCTCTGACATTTGAATGGACTTAATTGCCTACCGTTTGGGTGTCCTTTACTCTACTGATGATGCTATAGGTGTGTGATTTTGCATTATGGCAGGTTAAGTTCGGCTGCTGAGTTCTTGTTTGTAGTGTTTGCCATCAGATAATATGAAAACAGAATAAAATAGAAATGTTCAGAGTGAAGCTAAAACTGGGGTGCTTCTGCCTTTGTCCCTGGAAGTAAATGAGAAGAAATATCTGTAAGAAATTAATGGAGAGGTTTTTCTGTGTTCTGGTTTGCAAACTAAACTGAGCTAATATGTTTGATGGGCCCTTCATAAAAACATGCCTTAGTTTTTACTGAATGAATTTGTGATTGCTGTGTGTGTGTGTGTGTGTGTGTATTTATACATTTGCTTGTATTTATGTGTTGGTTTTAAATAAATAATCCAGAAGTGTACTTTCTCTTAGCCTGCAGGGGCTTGTCATTATTACCTTATGCATATTGATTTCTAAATCCAAGTCCATTAGAAGTTAAGAATCATCCATGAAAGTATTATCTATATAATATTCATTCAAGACATAGTAATTATCAGAGACATATTCTGTATTATTTGTAAGAATTAGAGTTTAGAATTATAATTTCAAAGACTCTATTAGCACACTTTTAAAAAAGTTTTTTAGCTTCTTTTTCCCCATTTTCTTCGCCCCACCCAAAAAACTGATGTTTTTGCCAGAGCTGATATTTTTATTTTTTAAAATATATTTTTATTGAGTTTTTACAGAGAGGAAGGGAAAGGGATAGAGAGTTAGAAACATCGATGAGAGAGAAACTTCGATCGGGTGCCTCCTGCACATCCCACACTGCGGATGTGCCCGCAACCAAGGTACATGCCCTTGACTAGAATCAAACCTGGGACCTTTCAGTCCGCAGGCCGATGCTCTATCCACTGAGCCAAACCAGTCAGGGCAAGAGCTGATATCTTTAAACTCATTAAGAAAAAAATCAAAGGAACAGATTATGATCATCTTTGTGCTGACATTTCATTTTCATCTATTTTTTAGTATTTCTATACTTTTAAGTTACTAAAAAATGTTAGCATTAGCCTTAAAACATGAGATATCAAATCAGTGTGATTTGTCACTTTTCTGAGATGTACATAATCTACTAGTATGTCTTAAATAGAGAACAAATGTGTAAACACAGATATAATCTATTCTGAATATTAAATATGCACACACTCAAATATACTTTAATTGAAACTTTTAATAATGTGGAAGTAAGAAATATACTTAGGGGAAGACTAACTTCCTCAAAGACCTTAGGATATAGACATTTTTTAATTTAATTTTTTTCTAGCACCATTTATTCCTCTATGCCCTGTCCCACCTCCCCTCTGCCTCCCCCCAACCCCTCCACAACCCCTGAAATCACCACATTGTTGACCATGTCCATGAGTTCTGTCTTTTATTTTTAAGAAGAGCTCTACTTTGGGGGGAGTCAAAGGATTATGGAAGTAAGAAAAGCCTTTAAGTAAAAAAAAAAATAGTTTTTCTTTATCATTCTAATATTACTCCTCTTGACACTGTCTGAAAAATCAATTTATAACTTTTTATACAAAATATACTCCAAATATTATACAGATTTCCAGATTTGTGTTAGAAATTGTGGGAGAAATAATGACAAAAGGAACACCGCAAATTTGTTTAAATTATAGAATTATAGAATAAATTATTTTATACAAATGCACAATTATGAAGAGGTAAAGTCTGCAAGAAACTTTATTTTGTAAGGCAAATGAGGCTTAAGTACCAAGTCACACAGTGTATTGACAGAAACAATGTTTGAGATAGCAAATGCAACTGGAAATATCTTCAGCATAAGCAGAAATAAACTTGCAGTATTACTATCTTATGTCAAAATGACCTGTTGGATGATGCTTTCTCTAAAAAATAAGAGGCAGGTGGAGAACCAAAAGTGGACCTCACTTTAATTGAGAGCGCCATCAAGAAGAGGCGGCTACTTAAAATGAAAGACATTCAAGTCCATATACTGTTATTTGTTTAAGCTTTACAGTGTCATGAGGAAGTTAAATATAGATGGCCACCACATTTAATATGCCTAGGAAAATCTAAGACTTTCAAACAAAAGCAGAAACATAAGTAAATCTAATTAATATACCCAATCTCAACAACAGAATCTTTAAATTTTTATTACTCTGATGAGTTGGTCTTTGACTTTATCACTAGCCTGTAAAGTTAATGCATTCTTTTTTGAAATGTCCTTTGCGGAGTGACATTCCACTTCTTAATGTTTCAAGCCACATAATCATTAAAAAAAAAAATAAACTTACTGAACTTCAGACAAAATTTTTCCTTTCTTTCTCTTTCAGGAAGTCGATGGCAATAAAGTTATGTCTTCATTTGCCCCACACAACTCATCTACCTCACCTCAGAAGGCAGAAGAAGGTGGGCGACAGAGTGGCGAGTCCTTGTCTAGTACAGCCCTGGGAACTCCGGAGCGGCGCAAAGGCAGCCTGGCTGATGTTGTGGACACCTTGAAGCAGAGGAAAATGGAAGAGCTCATCAAAAATGAGCCAGAAGGTAAAGGCTGGGAAAGAAAGTTGTTGCCGTCTCCTTATTTGAATAATTTAATTTCACCCTCTAGTTCCGTTTTTTGACGTACTCTTTCTAAGAGCAATTGGACAAAATAGAAACCTAATGCTACAAAGATGGGTACTATTTCTTTCAGAAACATTTAAATATGGCTATTCCAATGTTTTTATCATTAATGTCTGCTGCGATGTCTTATTTTCACTCATGGATAAGTTACGGTGGAGTAAAACAGAGTTAAGGATGGATCGTGGTGTTTTAAGGGCCTATGATGTGTGAGGCTGGAGTCACAAGGTGAATGGGGAGTAGCTCTAGCCAGTCGCTTTGTACCTGGAGTGCTCTCCTCTGTGTTCTCAAGGTGCGATTATACACATACCTCCATTTGGCCTAGAACTTGAGTATTTTGTCCAGCAAGCAACGGATCAATATGCATCCATTCCTCTTTTACTCTCCTTGGTCAAGGAGTCTTGAATTGCAAAACAGAATGAGTAGTGGATTGCCAATAATAGTATGCAGGTGATCCTAGTAATCAATCATTATTTATTAAATGTGTTATATGACTTCACATTAGTTAATTGAAACACTAATACAATATTAAATTAGAACTGCTAACAAAAATGTCTCATTGTTCTAAAAAAAATAGAAAGTAGCAGCAGAGCTTAAAAGGACATTTTTCAATTTTGTTATATTTTATAACCTTTACTTATTAATGCATCTTATACTACCTTGATAATTAGGACTATTTCTTATATGGTCCACAATTAATATGGCTAAGCCTATTATATATTTGAAAAGTAGTGATTCTCTAACTCCATTAGCTATCCCGAACTTTCCATTTGTTCAACTTTATAGGAGGCCTTGCTTTTAAGATTCATCTTCTAAAATCTCTTTAATAGTTAAGATAGGTGATATACACATGGACTAATCTTAAAATTAAAGCAAACAAACTGATAAAAAAAAACTGATTGCAAGTTTGATCATTTGTGTATTACTGATAGTCATCCTTTATGTTAAAGATATTTACTAAATCCTATTTAAACCTATGCCCATCCAAAGCATGGATACCACATTGCACATAAGAACATGCCTCCTATTTCAGAGTCAGGTGGAAAGTTAAAACAAACAAACAAAAAACAGGGACATAAAAAGAAACACTTTATACAAAAAATAGTCTGCATTTATACTACATAACACTGAGTTAGATTCATTTCTATTCTGTTGTTGGGAAACTGGTAAATTATGAGTATATCAGACACAAAATGTATGTTAACCAGTATATTTGGGAGTCATGTTTTAATTAAAATGTCTGGGTCCCTACCAGACGCATAGTTGGGACATGGATTTTAGTTAAAATTTATGTAATTCACATGATCTTACAGTTGGAAGGGATTTTAGAGATAATCTAGTCAAAGACTTTTTGGCTTCCATCTGCATTTTTATAATGCAGTTTTGAGGAGGACCCAGATGATTTCTGTATTGGAATATTTTTTTGATATTAAAAATACTTGTCTTACTATAAGAATTGTTTTTTAAGAAAAAGAAAAATTAAAAGGAAGAAACTTGTAGCTTTTCCATATTACTTCTCTTAACCTTAACCTAATGATGAGGTAGTCCTTTGTCATTGTTTATATATTCTGTTCATTTTGCTTGAACATTTTGTGTTTAACATTATTTTTCCCGTTTTACATTGTGATACAGTATTAACTAAAGCCCACACTTTATTCAGATGTCTTCATTTTCACCAAGTGTGCGTTCTCTGTTCTCTGAGGTTTTCAAAGATAACACGTTACATTTGAGAGGCAGGCCTCTGGGCTTGTTTTTGGCTATCGCAGTTTCTCAGACTGTACCTGTGATTGATAAGTTAAAAGTTTTGAGGAATACTATTCAGATGTATTGTGGAAGGCACTTCTATTGGAATTGGCCTGCTGGTTTTCTCTTAATTAGACTGGGGTTATGGTTTCTGGAGGAAGACCATAGAAATAGAGTACTATTAAAAAGTACTTCATATCAAGGGTACATACTTTCTATGTAACTTATGAATGTTGATGATGACCTTGACCAACTGACTGATATGGTGTTTGTCAGGTTTCTCCACTATAGAGTCTCCCTGGCCCCTTTCCAAACCATCATCTGGTAGGAAGATGCTCTGTGCAACCCACATTTCAGGAGTAGGGAGCTTTGCTCCCCCTCTTTAGAGTGGGGCATCTACATAATGTATTTGGAATTCTTCTCCATCAAAGATTTATCTCTTCTCCATCGTTTACTAATTTTATTCACACACACACACACATATGGACTTGTGGGTATTTACTGTATACTTTGAGTTATAATCCACTTAAACTTTATTTTCTTGCCCAAATTGTTCAGCTTTGGCTATTGGAAGCACTTTTCATTGACTTCTAAGACACTTTGACATACAACCAGGATTGTGGGTATATTTGTTTGAGCACTTCTTCACTATCTGGAACTATAAGATGCTGCAAACTCATCTTGTGTATTCTCTGTTCCATGTCTGTAGTTTTTCATGAAACATATTTATCTGCTTTTGATATTAGGATAATACAAGCTTCCTAGAATGAGTTGGGAAGTATTTCTCTCATATGTAAATTTTTAATATTTGTTTGAGATGTTTTTCTGGTCCAGGATGAAGGCCTGGGCAGAACCAGTGAGGCTGCGGAATGTATTGTATTACAAAGTAGTTTTGGGGTTTATCTTTAGATGATACCCTGCCTGGAGATTTGGGATACGACCTTGGTATTCCCTGAGTATGCCATGTTGGCTTCTTTTAATTTGGAAGCAAATGATATGGCAAAGCCAAATGAGTCACTCATAATAGGAAAAAGGGCAGGAGACAGTGCTCCCCAATTTGCGTAGTAGGAGATATTCAGAGGTATTGGGAACTGGGAAAAAAGGGTAATATGTAGTAATAGCTACACAGGCAAAAGAGAAGAGAGAGAGAGCACCTACAGAAGGAAGAGGTGACACAAGGAAACATCACTACGGCATCTGGACATTAGACAGTTTTCATTATTGTATTCCCCACAACCTTTTTTTTGTACTTTCCCCCTACAAATATAATAAAATCTACGCTCAAATATGACTTGTTCTTAATAAATATAAATATATTGAGAAAATGCAGAGATCATCTTTATGGAAACTGGAATGTAAATTGAACATGGCAAACATCTGAAAGCCTGAGTTCCGTAAAGATAATTTCTGTGTAAATACAGAACTACTAAGATGTATTTATATGAACACAAGATTCTTAGTTGTATATTGAGTACACAAAGCTGTAACTAGTCTCCACTTATTAATAAAGATATTTTCCATAACACATAATTTTATTTAATAACTGTGACAATTGGGAGATTTATCAAGGAGTAACATGTATCTGAGTAAAGTGATGATCTTAATCACCAAGAAAAATTAATAACAAAGCAGAAAATTGTTCATAGAAAGGGTATAAGATGTTGAAGGAAATTTGCATTTTTTTTATTGCAAAGGAGGTAACATGGGGAAATATATCTGGAAAGATGTGTAAAAGTCTCAACAGCAAGTGGAAAGTTGCTCTGGCTTTAAAGAGACCATTAATCAAAGTGTATGGTTGGGCCCTAGCTGGTTTGGCTCAGTGGATAGAGCGTCAGTCCATGGACTTCAGGGTCACAGGTTCTATTAAGGTCAAGGGCACATGCCTCCTCAGTTGCAGGTGCGGGAGGCAACCAATCAATGTGTCTCTCTCACATCCATGTTTCTCTCTATCTGTCTCTCCTCCTCCCTTCCACCCTCTCTGACATCGTTTGAGCATCAGAACAGGGACACTGCACGGTACAAACAAATGAGCTGTTGGTAGCTCTGTGAGGTCCGGCAGCACCTAAAGAAAAAAATCCTTAGGGATAAATTTAACAAAAGAGCTGCAAAATGTATATTCAACACACAACTAAACCTTATAACTCTTTGGTGAGAGCAGTGATATGGGGATGAGGGGAGCAGAGGTAGGTTGAATGGAACTAAATGTTAAGCTCACTAATATATGCCACACACAAAAAAAATCTTTTCTTCCCTCAAGCTATATTTTCCATTGTTTTCAAAGGCCATTCAAATGAACAGGTTGAATGAAAATTTCATTAAGTCATCAAGGCCCAGCTAAATCATGATGAGGGTGCCATATTCATGCCTTTGCTTCCTCTTATTGAGTGGGGAAAACAGATTTCAATAGAAAGTCAGTATTACTTCCGACCTTATCCCAGCCAACAGCACACTAACAGAAATTCAGAAGTTACAGGAGAATAGTGTGTCATACAAAAGGAGGCCACAGAGTTAGAAAGAAAATTAAATTTGCAGATGGGTTGGAAAAAAAGAGGCTCTATAATTCCAGCTAGCTTATTTTTTCAATTAATCAAAATACTTTAAAAGTTGTAAATAGGGGGGATATATGTTGATGTATTTTTGTTTGTGTCTTTTTCCTGCATCTGAATTTTTGCCTGGCATTACTCAAAATGGCCCAGTGCTAAAGAGTCTTATTTCTCCAATGTGTCACTTAACTGACATAGAACATGCCCAAGTTCATAGTAAATTCAAGTTCAAAATATATGGCTGTTACAATATGGTTATGTTATATTTGGATGTAGCTCAGCTATATCAGTTGATTTTTTTTCTCTTTTTCTTCTTTATTGATTAAGGTATTACATATGTGTCCTTATCTCCCCATTGCCCCCCAACCCCCCAACTCATGTCCTCACCCCCCTGGTGCCTGTGTCCATTGGTTAGGCTTATATGAATGCGTATAAGTCCTTTGGTTGATCTCTCCCTAGTTGATTTTTAACTATTAGACCTAGAAGTTAAGAATGATCATGGGGCCCTAACCGGTTTGGCTCAGTGGATAGAGCTCCAGCCTGTGGACTCAAGGGTCCCAGGTTCAATTCTGGTCAAGGGCATGTACCTTGGTTGCGGGCACAGCCCCAGTAGGGAGTGTGCAAGAGGCAGCTGATCGA